TTTAACACATAATGAATCGTCCCTGTTGTTATAATTTCCTTATATTATAAATTCCGGTAAGAGAACTCTGTTTGATAACGAAAGTGTCGGGCAAGCGATTTCTTACTTTCTTTGAGAGTACAAATTGAGTCGTATAAGTTGTTTGTCGTCCAATCAGAAGGGAAGATATCTGAGGGTTAATCTGCTATACAAACAGACAAACATATACATCACACATTCTCATATTACATAACAGGAGAATTTATGTTGTTTCGTTACTATCGTATCAATAAAAATCGCCTTCAATCATAATTGGGCGTATTTGCAGTATCAAATAAATGCTTATAACATTCACGATTTCATCTCAGACGAGCAGCTAGCTTTAGGTAACATAAGTTCAGAAACGAGACGAGATCAGTGAAATAGTTAATGGGATAAACAAATACCAATTTAATTGCGTGTTAAATCTAAATAGAATGTCAAAATATAGATAGTTATTAACAAACTATTACAATTATTGTAAAATTTTACAATATCACACCTCGGCTCCACATATACGATACGCTTATATATTTTTGTCGAATAAAAATAGTTAATTTTGATATTCTATATATTCTAAATTTCACAATAATTGTAATAGTTTGTTAATAAAGATCTACTACATCTTGACGCTGTTCATATTTGTTTTCTTATTAACTAGTTTACTGATTTCGTCTTATTTTTTTTTCTAGTAGAAGTTTATAAAACAAGCAAAATCCATTCCAAGCACACAGTTTTATACAGTAGCTTCGTTTAATGCTAGTTATTATTCTGTAATGCGAAAGCCAGTGATTTTCCAAACTATATTAATAAAGTTGCCAATACCATGCCAATTAATAGTACATTGTTGGACGACTATGCAATATCGGCCGTAATTAACTATAGTTAAAAAACTGTTATTACTTTATAAGTATGGGTTCCGTGTGCGGCCGAGATCCTGTTACAGTAATGAAGTTTGAGAGGACAAGTATTTATATTTTAGTAGTGGATATTACTAAGGTATATCATATCCTAATATATATCTATAGTTCTTTGCTAAATGCAAAGCCTGTACGTTCTACGTAAACACTCGTGTAAACGTGCATAGTAAATATAAGAAATATAAAAGTCATAATCATTGAATAATTGTGTATTAAGAAAAATAACGATATAATACCATAGCGGTAAATTCAATTAAAGATAATACAGTTAATTTTGTTGATAAAACTGTTTCAATTAGAACAATTTAAGAACGTTGTTTTAGTTTTAAATTAATATTAATTCAAAAAAGGGTTGAAAAGCTTCTAAAATTCAATAAATGAAGATATTTATTTTTAGATAGTTGATTTCAACTTTTTATGACATGGTTTTGATAAAATTTGTAATGTGTTCTTTACATATTTAGCAATAAAATATATTAGAAAGAAATAAAATACATTTGGCCACATAGATATACTAATAATTTAAAATATAAATATACATTATTATATTTGATGAAATTTTGCATTCACAATGCTGTACTCAAAAATATTCTTAATGGAATGCTTAAAAATCCACATTGTCCCTGGTACTGTGAGATGGGACTCGAACCCATGACCTATCGATTTGAGCGACTGCTCTAAAAATAAATATATATTTATTAAAGAGTGGTTGCCAATCAAGACTCTGTCTCAGCATAAGGCATAACATAACCAAGGTAGAGAACCCTGTTACAGCGTCGGTTATTCTGGCAGAGCCTGCGTAGGTGGTCGACGTTATACATAAATATAAAGGTATACACTAAATGTGCAGACAAAATTGTTTCTTATTTATATATGTACATATATTTACTTATACCTACTTATAAAATAAATAATAACAATGTGTAAAAACCGAATCGAGCATAAATATCAAAATGTAATACATATTATAAATTTAAAGAAATTGTAATGGTGCGCACATGGCAAGTTTACCTTGCACTGGTTATATTAGTTGATTCCTGTGATCAGACATCCATAAAAAAAATGTTTAACTCTCTGGTTGAATACTTTATGTATACGTTTATGGTGGAGTTACTTTTACCTTTTTTTAATGTTTAGAACTTATATTATTTATAATGATTAAAATAGAAAAGCCTTGGTTTATAATGCAAAACGTACATTTATAATATAAAAAGCACACAGGAAGACCTACAATCAATCAACTCGTGATGTGCAACGGAGAGGCAAAAGGATCCACAGGAATCGGCCAATCAAGAGTTCATTGAAAATTAGGGATGTGACAGCGAAAGACCGATCCGATCTCAAATTACTCCAAAATGTTTAGTGCGAGCCGCTGACGTCAGTAGCTAGATTAATAACAAGAGTCTAACTGTCGCATTATCGAATATTTTTTAAGGATGCGTCTTAAAATTACTAATTGTTTTTAGGTCACGCAGCGGGGGGCGGGAGGTCGTTCCAACATTGCGATGCTACAAACCTCAAAGAACCCCGAAAAGCTGTAGTGCGAACTTGGGCGTAGAAGAAATATTTGTACACATTCTTGTCGGATATCTCCTGTGATCCTCAGCCCAAGTGAATTTCTCTTATATATAAGACGGTTCTCCAGTTTAAATTATACCAAGTAGTGGTGAAGCAAGATGATGTTGCCGCCGCGCCTCCATTCTGAGCATTTTCGCATCATTCAAGAATGGCGTCCTATGAGTTCTGGGTGGAATATGAAAACAGAAATGCATGCAAGCATTTTGCACCCTCTGAACAAGCTTAACTGGCGTCGTCATCAGTCACGAACCATATACAGTGTCATAATAATTTAACTTCAATAATATCAAAGATTCACAAAGTGTAATTCTAAGTGGCATGCTTGAGAAGGGTCTCATTTTATATAATAATTGGAGCAGATACAGACATTCCGAACACAATCAGTTAAGTGGCTTTCAAAATGACCGTCGAGAACCAGACCTAGATTTCTGCACTTATGCACACGCTCAATGAGCTCTCCATTTAAAAGAGATATTATTGCAACTTAAACAGTTAAAACAGCAATTTAAACAGTTTTATGATATTTTTAGTTCCAATTAGCATGAATTTAGTATTTTTAGGGTTAAGAGCAAGATAATTGGAGCAGCGCCATGTTTCTATCCTTGTCAAGTCCTCATTGATTTGTGAGGCTACTTTTTTATATTCATTTGGAGGGAAAAAGAGATATAAATAACTGTAGACCGTCCGCATATAAGTACATACATATAAAAACAGTACTTAATGTAGTTTGCGGAACACCTCGGGTCACAGGAAGAGGAGAAGACTGTGATTTGATCCCACTTGTATTAATTAACTTTACTAGCTATTGTCTATTTGTCAGATAACTCTGAAACCATTTTACTGTATTTCGATCCACTCCATAGTATGCTGTGCTAACAGCAGGGGACTATTTATTGTTTCCTATTTATTGTTGTTATTACCGTGATCCAAAGCAGCCAGAATATTGTCTACTACATCAGACAATGCAGTAGCTCGGCGAAAGCCTGACCGGAGATGTGGGAAGATATTATTATCTTGTAGGTAACTTGTAAATTGATAATTAAATACTTTTTCTAACACTTTTGATAAGCATGGCAGAATACTAATCGGGCGAAGATCCCTGAGTTCATTTGTTGGATTATTTTTTGGCAAGGGCTGAGTATGGTGGTTTTCCAGGATTGTGGGAAAACACTATTCATGATAGAGTTATTTACAATGGTGGCAATAGTGTCTGATGTGAACAGTAAGGTCATTGTAAGCTTAGTCAGTGAGATCCCATCGCAACCCTGAGTGTTTGACTTGAGTTTAGTGATTATTCGCATAATTTCATCACCAGTGACAGTTGTAAGAGAGAATGTATTTGGGCCACATCGATTGTGTTCAAAATAGGTGAGTTGTTATACGTATTGCAACACTATTATTACCGGCTATGCACAGAAAATGTGCATTCAAAATATTTGGATTATCAAACTGTGGAAGCTGGTCAGATGATCTTTAGTTATATAACAGTACCGTGTTTTTTAGTTTATCCCACAGCTTCTTGGGATTATTTTTATCAGACTTGTATTAGTATGTTAGTGATAAGGTGGGTTTCGTTATAATAAATAACTATCGAAACACCCTCATATAGAAAAAAAAACGCCAATAAGTATCTACAGGAATGTCCCTAATATTATAAGGTTTCATGGCGTAACCTGGAAAGCAATAGTATTCAGTATGTGTAGTTACGTCGTCTTCGTTGTTTCCTATTTTCAAAACGCAAGAATAAAACGGGTATCAAAGAATAGAAAGTAGGTATGTGTTGTCACAAAATTAATTAGGCATATATTTTCTGCATATGACTATTATTTTGTGTTTGATTGTTCCAATTTTTATTACGACTTGCTTCTAAATTCAGACGGTTAAAGTAATCGACTCATTCCCGTCAAGGGCCCTTTTTCGACACCCCTCCCCTCCACTCTCCGCATCGATAGCATGTTCACACCAAACAAAACCGCCATTTACAACGAGCATTTTACACCCATCATATCATAAACGGCTATGACATGGTCATACATAAAATTACGTTTCGCGCCCACGCCGCGCCGTGTGAAGCGTCCTCGACGGCCGCGTCGACAAATTGCCCGTTCGCTCGCAGCGCTCGAGAACGCTTGACCTACTTCGCTTACGGATTAATTGTTGACGTGTTACGCTCAGCTCGTAATTTCATTGTGACCTGTAACCTAACCGTCGCGTGTGAGTAGTGACTAAGAATGCCCCTTGTTATGTACTAGTTTTACCTAACTCGTATGTAAGAAGGTCGAGAAGGGCGTGAGTGCTAAAGTACAGTTTGAATGCCTCTGCTGAATAAGAATAAAATAGTAACGAAATATGTCTTTTAATATTTTGGTTGGCAGCTTCAATGTTCAATGCCCTATTGTACTATAAACTTCACAGCTTAGGTAACAAAGTCAGAATCAGACTTATTATTTGTTCTGTTGTTTTATTTTGAGTGTTGTACCTTACCTTGTCCCTAATCTCTTGCCTCATCTTCTCTCTCTCCTCCTCCATCTTGCGGTGTTTCTCCTTGCGCCTCTCCTCCGCCTCGCGGATGGCCTCCTGCCTCTCGCGTTCTGCCTCTTCTTCCTTTTCCTTATCGTCGCTGTCGTCACCATCGCCACCAACCGCACCTGTTCACAATATAACCTCTATATAATAACATCCCACATTTTCCCCCGATTTTATGTAATTAGTTATTGTTATGGTTTATTTATTTATGTAATTAGTTATGGTTAGTAGTAAACAGTAGCTTAGCATAAAAAAAATTTCCAGTAACATAATATCTGAATAATAGTAAATTTTAATTAATCAATAATGATATAGAAAAAATCCCAGATTAAACATTAAGTGAAATAAACACATCCAATTTTTATAAAAAATCAATAAGATCAAGACGTGATCTGACTGAAGAGTATCAAAGAAGCCGTTTCAAATAACGAAATCTAAAACAGCCCATAGTTGGCAAAGTTATCGATGAATAGAAACCATTTTTCAGTTATGTGGATAACAACAGACGTAAGCTGAGTTTCTATAGAGATAGATTTCTATTGTTTCGAGTAGGACACGCTGTTATTGCAGGGAGCGGAGGATAGGGACTGCGGACGTCCACGCTGCTGTAGGTATTCATTTGAGCCGCGACGAGTGCGGCGAAGCGTGTCGGCGACGTGACGATGTGCAGATTGACGTAAAATGGATTTTTGAATGACGCTTCAAATCGTCAGTCCGTCCGCCAGACGTGGACGGCGGCGAGCTCGACGGCTGGCCACAAGTGTATTTTTAATTTGCTTTTATTATCATGTTGCACAGCTCCTTTGCTGTCGCGTTCTACTAAAATATTGTAATTCAAATAAAAAGAACCTGTAATTTACAGTACTTATGTTGATATTCAAATGTCAATGGTGCAGCTTGGAATTTTGACCCACGTGTCGTAATCGAGAAAATAAGATGCATAATCGAATCTGTCGCTCGATTAAATAAAGGCTAAATATATTTACTCACAATAATTATCAGGGATATTTTAAATAAAATTTATGTTAAATAAAAATAAACACTTCAAAATCGACAGTAATTGTTCCTGAGCTTTACAATATTAAGTATAGATAGATAGTCAAATAAATGCTAATTATTTAAATTTTAACAAAAATATATAACCTATATCACATTTTATTATTTATATGTTTTAATAATATCAGTATTAAGTATCAATCGATAACCTTCCATTACACATCGAGTAACGTCACAGTTTTCCATAGAGTACAGGGGTTTAGAAATTGCGATGTCAAAGGCACTATCGGCGAGCGAGATAGCAGTGCATTCTGTTTTCTTTTATTTCGCTTCTATTGTTGAGTCGGTTGGTGTAATTTGCGGGTTCGATGGAAATGCACAGAGATGCAGATGCGTCCGTATTGTATATATATATGTATATATATATATATATATATATATATATATATATATATATATATATATATATATATATATATATATATACATATAGATCATATATATTCAAGATATCTGCTATTAGCAGTATTAAATGAAAAAAGGAAATTGGATCAGAAATGGGTTTTGTTTAAAAGAACCACATTTAAAGTATAATTTGTAGCAGATATTAGATCTTAACAGCTAATCTAATAATTTAAAGAATTTATATGGTAAACATATTAGTTATAAACATAGTTCAAGTCATATGCCGTGAAATTTTAAATTGGGGATGGAAATCTTTAAGGTTCCTTCCGTAGGTGAAAAGTAACTTTTATTATAATTTTGAAGGCATGTTGAAAAATATATTTCCTATATTATTTTGGGTCTGGGTGTTGTGGAAATAACTAATATAAAACAATCAACTATGGAACTGTTTGCACATACTTGGACAGTTTTCGTTGCATATTAAGCAAAAAACTCCCAACGTTCGGCTGAATTTATATTTTATAATTCATACGTAAATATATTTGGCAACACGCACACAATAGCTGTCCAGTATTAATTTAACCTCAAAGCGTACGAATGCCAAAAAGCGAGTATGCCCAAGCACTTGAATGGAGAAAATTCTTGGCGTTTCATATCTCCACGTAGCAATGCGGCACGCGCCGACCGCCGCCGCCGCGCCATACCCGGAGCTGGATTAAGCGAATTCCGAAGCATGCCTGTAATTCAATTTGCAGAACCATCTTCTCAATAACGGCGGCCATTAAGAAAAAGGCACTCGTCGCGGAGGCAATTCAATTATTTAATTGATCATCCCTTCAAAACGGGCGACATGCCACTGACAGAGTAATTCACTCCACGCGAATTATTAAATTCGACTTCAGTTTGGATGGTGGCTGGTGGCTGTATATTTATTATTCTATCTCGTCTTTTTCTTCTCTTTTTAATTTAATATTCGAAGTTATGATATTTGAATATTTTAATATGGCCAGTATTTTTATAGATTCACATTTAAATAATAATGATCTTTCACCGTTGATGTTTGCTATTCATTAAAAGTTTTCGGCGACTTTTCGACCTGACACGTCTCGTGCATTTTACACTGTAGTTAAATGGAAAAACTTTTATTTATTCAAATAAATGGACTTTTTATGCTTCATCGTTTTGATTGATAACTTTTGTTTCGTAAATATAAAAAAATCACAGGATCATAAACATCACGAATACCACTGTCACTGCTTCGAGGATACTTTGATAATAATATCATCTGTCGTACATCGTAAGTTATAACTAAGCTATAATAACTTTTGCTTGATGCAAGATTTAGAGAAGAACTCATAAACTGCTTAAAGGTTTAATAAAGCAACTTTTGAATGGATTTGAGCGCATGTTGTTTTACATTTTTTATATCATATACACGGCTCCAATTTGCAACTTAGTAATTTAAGGCCTTTTATTATGTAAATTTTAAATTGCTGTTTCGAAGGTAGGTCTGTAACCACATTACTCAGACAAGAAACAGTATAGATTTTTAACATGGAAGGGGTTTAGCTAGCAACTATTTTTTAAATCGATTTCCTTGACATCTTGGATTGAATTTAAGGTTTGGGAGGCGTCAGAATGCTCTTGGAGTATTTTGTAACTTATCCAAGGCAATTGCAACAACTAATATTGTCGTACCTCAGTTTCAAAACTCAAACTATCGATATAAACGGTACGAGATCATCTGGTTCACAAGTAAAAATGGGGGTTCCCTAGGGATCTATTCTGGGTCCCTTTCTGTATCTAATATAAACTTTATGCAATATAGTATTGTTTACGGATAATACTTCTTTAATTTTTAATATTGATAGATGTAAAAATAACTTTGATGATGTAAACAATGCGCTCTTACAGATTATGACCGTTTACAGTTTACTGTAAATAACCTCCAGTTAAATGCTAAAAAACGAAATGCATCATTTGTGTTACATAATGTAAAAGCAGAACTAATAGAAATTAAACTTAATGATGAAAAGCTCGAGTTGGTTGATTCAACAATCTTCTTGGGTGTAACGTTGGTCTAAATTGCAATGGCATCCTCACATTTCATTATTGGCAAGAAAACTAAGTTCAGCTGCATTTGCAATAAGAAAAATTAGGCAACCCACAGATGTAGATACTGCTAGGACAGTATACTTTAGTTATTACCATAGCTTTATGTCATATGGCATTCTGATGTGGGGTACGGCTGTAGATATAGAGTCTATATTTATTTTACAAAAAAGAGCAGTAAGGGCTATTTATCAATTAGGTTCAAGAACATCACTTAAATTCGAAGAAATTGGGATATTAACAGTGGCCTCTCAATTGATATACGATTGTATACTTTATGTTAGAAAAAAATATTAACAATTACATTAAACATAGTCATGTACACAATTTTAATACAAGAAACAAAGATAATAAACTTCTCTTGCCGTCATGTAGGCTAAAGAAGGTTATTTATATCTCGGTGAGCTTGTTTGAATAGACATGTGATTCAATTGACGAAAATACTGTTGTACTTTTATATTTTCTAATATTTTAATGGAAAGTGACTTCATATTTAATGAGGTCATTTTTCAATCTTGACGCTTTGTATGAAATTAAAAGTAGCCCTTGCCGAGTATCTTGCCGGTTCTTCTCGGTACAAAGTCGGTTCACCGTAGATTTACGAACCGATGGCGTAGCTCTCGACTTTCACAAGTGCTTGTAACAGCCTACACTGAATAAATAATTTTCATTTGATTTCAATCGAAATTACCGGGAATCAACCAGGGCCCTCAGAAAAGGCGGTAAGTTGTAACCAGTATGTGATCCACTGGCCATTCATTAATCCATTTGAGAAACTTCGTTTATTCTCTATTATAATATATAATTTTCTACCGTAAGCCATCAGTAGACGGAATCGATAGTATTGTCTTAGAAAAACTAGGGAAAGAAACTTTGAGAGGTATCTACTGTATGGAGCCGTTGTTAGAGAGTGTACAACGCATCTGTGACAATCAATACCTGACAGCTGAGCTTCAGCAGTCACAGGCACTGCGGGATAGTAGAGTGCAAGCTTAAATATCAAATTTAGTAACTTATATAGGAAACGTACTCGAACCCTTTCAAAAGATATTATAAATACGGGAATATAACATAATCATATCAGAGGCAAACATTTTCTTTATTCAAATTGCTAGCATTTAATACTTTTCCTTTAAATAATTTAATTTCTTTAACTGTTTAGAATAAGATTTAAAAACTGCTAGATATAAAAATGTTATAATTATGTTTTTAAGATAGTACTCTTGATTCCGTCTATTAAAGTCTAATTTTTTAGATGCGTCTGTTAAGTGACAAATACACTAAGAAATCTTTTAACGGAAAATGTACATAGAATGATACACAATTATTATATTATTATTTTATCTGATAAAATTATTGAAAGTTTAATTTTGACTGTATACTCCAACTAATGCGACTTGGAATTTTTAATCTCCAACACATAATACGAGTTTCATGTAATAGTAGAGATTGTAGTTACGATAGTGTATTATTTAGGTAAGTGAGACTGAGTTGTTGTACAATAAGTACACCGGTGGGCTTCACTTTAATTGAATTGAGTGCAGACGACAAGCTGCCGTGACGGGAATTAGGCGCCTCTCACTACCGCCGACCAGACTCTATAGATCAC